AGATGCAAAAAATTTTCATCGGTGATGTTGACCGAAAACTGGATTCTGTCGATGGGCTGGTACATAGTGGTGATGATGCGAATTTCAAGTATGGAGTCCTAGACTTGCATGGCAGAGGTCAATCCGGTTCGTTTCCGTGTTCATGCTGGATGTCTAGGTCAAACGAGGCTTGAACAAATGGGGTCGCCGTGGCCGTTGACAGCTTGATTTCTTTTGGGGACGAAGTTGGTGTGGTGAGACCCCTGTTCAAATGTCGTCGGTGTGACAGTCAGCCCAACGGGATCAAGCCGGGAGACGGAAGTCGGCTGCTAAAAATACCATTGGGTTAAGCGCCGACCCTTGTTCCTCTTCCCCCCCTCCCCTGCCTACATATTGCCGGCCACCTTGAATCACGGAAACTCTGGCAAGCCGCAAGGCGACGATGAGCATCTTAGGTAATGAGCCTGGCAGGCACTGCCGGTGGGGACCAACTCAATTTTCACGGTCGCTGAGGTGATCCATTCCCAAGCAATTCATTACCAAATGTCTGTAGAAGTGTAAGTGAAGGCACCGCCAAATAGGCCAAGACAAAAAGTAGGGCAGTGTGCTGCAATGTCATGACTTAGACTTATACCGCCATTTAGGATGAACCGGGAACTTCCCGCGGGATTCTCTCCACCATGTTGAATTGCATCTTGGCTGGACTATGGAAGCGGCGCAGAGGTGATAGGCATCAAGTTTCCTGGACAGAAAAAGTATGTATGCGATTGCGCCGTGAAGAAAATGCAACGGCGTGCAAGTCAAAGGGTCGTAGTAGGAATCCAGGCGCAAAGCGGCACAGAAAGTGTTGGGTGAAGAAATCCGGCTCGATGTGGGTGTTGTGGATGGACGGAACTGTCTGTAGTAAGGTGGGCAATGATCAATGGCAAGGCATCAACGGCACCCCAGAGACCCAGAGACCCAAAGACCCAAAGACCCAAAGACGTCCATGCCCGGGCCCCAGTTCCAACCGACAGATTGTCGGCCGCAATGCGCCTTTCCGGGATCGAAGGCGACGTTGACACCTTAAGGCAAGGTGAGGTGCCTTACGTGCGAGTTTACGTGCGGAATCCTACTGTGTAGGTAGAGCACGATGTTGGCAAGAGCGACGGTACCTCAAGGTAAGGTAAGGTCGTGCCTCTAATCGAGTCCGAGCCGCTCCAGTGAGGTCCACGGGAGTTGCTGCCTTCCATTCGGAAAATCTGCGGTCCAGCCAACCTAAAGCACCTCAGCGGCGGTAAGGTGCGAACCTACGGAGTACCTTGGGTAGGAGTACCTTACTAGGTAGTACCTACCCAAGGACCGGTAAGGTAGGAACAATGGACCAGAGTCACAACGGTCCGGTCGATCCTTCCTCTTCCCGTCCTCGACGTGACCTTTGATAGCTTTCGTCTCTCCACCATCCAACTCGCGACCGTTTGACAACCAACTAAAGCTTGGAAACTTGCGACCGCCACTCCGAAGCTTCTTCACGTAGAGCTCATCTAGCTAGCTACCTTATTCAACGGATAGCTTGATTTTTGCTGCCCAAGCACGGCCATCCTTTCTCCTATCTTTCCTGACCTTGCCAATCGTACCTACACTAGCAGAAGCGAGCGTATCCCTCCCCCTTCCAAACCCCCCCTCATCAGCCCATCGCTTCATCACCTCATACCTTAGCTCAGCTCCGAGATATCTCATGCAGCTTCAGCTACCTTTCCCGAATCTCAAGCTCGACAACAGTCCCAATCATGCGCCAGGGATATCGAATCCTGAAACGGACCCCATCCGCGCAAGAATCAAGATGCCCGCAACACCCCTCACCGGGAACCAGCTCCGAGACTTAAGGTTTCGCCAGTATATTGCTCATCATCGGTCGGTCCGGCCCCCAACATGGAAAACAGACGGATCACATCTGTCCATCTCCCCCTGAATCCTGATCTTTTCCCCCGAAAGCTGATCTGCCCGAGACCTGTGGGTCCTTACAGGGCCGTCCTCCGTTACGATCCGATGCGTTTGCTGCCATGAAGCTGGTTCGGACCCCAACACTTGCGGGCATTCATATCGACGGCGGCACTAGCCACGGAAGTACAGCAACTGAAACACTGAAGAATTTCTGCCCCGACGTCGCATCTCGCGCTGCCCGTTTGTTCATCCCTTGACAATGACTGGGACCGCTGCCCCCAGCCCGCAACCGGGTCCCGTCCGTCCCTGCAGCCGGCCCAGGCCGTCGGTGTGACCCCCATTGGGACATCTCCACCGCCCATGCCGACACTCGCCAAAAAGATCTTTGTGGTTTTTCTCCCTCGATAATGCATCCAAGATGCTGTGCAGCAACTTGGTCAACGTACGTACGGAGTAGCATACCCAGCTAGCACCTTGTTAGCGCGCCTCATGGTCACCAACACTTAATCCAAATTGTCTTATTGTGGTAATGTCACTTCCATACTTACTCATCTTGGCCGCACCATATTGATCACTTGCTTACTTGGAATCTGCGCTCAATGTAGACATCGCTTTCGTTTCGAAGTTATTGCAGCAAACGACACATTTGGAAGCACAGAAACTTCATGACACCAAAATAGGTCTCCAATGACTGGCAATTCGTCCCTCGGCACACCAATGAGGCGCTGGGCTGCGCCTAAGCCCCTGCCGTCCCCGCCGATTCGGGGCTATCCCTGTCCACCGCCCTACCTCTCCCATGTTTCTCAGCGGGCCGGCTGCTGCATGGCGTTCTCTTGGTATTCGCGTCAAAGATTGACAGCCGTCAATTGCTCGGTCGCTCGCCGCCCTCACCTTGGGCGACCGATGCTGCTATTCATTACCCCACGACCATCGGCGAACCTTCCGATTATTGCTTCAATATGATCGGCCTGTTCCTCCGTGCCCGCAACTCGGAGTCTTTGACGATCCAGCAAGGAAGCGGAAAATTTTCAACCTCGGGAGCCCCTGAATCATGGCACAACGATGGTCAACTCCTTCAATCAAGTATACTTTACTTGAGATCCTCGGTCCTCGGCCAGGTCAGAATCAAACTGTATAGCGCCCTCTACGCCAGTGTCGGTCGGGAAAATGGCACGTCAAATGGTTCCCTATGTCTGTCTGCATGAGCTATGCGCCAAAGTTCAAAATAGAATGCAAGCACTCGGTCACAAGTACAGTACCTGTCTGTGCAGGAGCTGCTTATAGCCATTCTCGAGTCGACGGGTCACAAGACTTGTATGTATTCTCTGCCGTCAAGGTGAGCAAAAGCAACCTCAATACGCAGTCAGACAGACGCGAGACACACAGCCAGTAAAAGGGTACACGGCTCCATCTCTCCCACACAAACTGTGTAACTCGTACGCCAGTTGGCTGCTGCCTTCGCTGCCCTCCGTTACATCTCCCGCTGTTTGCTGAACTGGATCTTGGGATGGATGCCCTGCAAAGTCAAAATCCAAAAAGGGCAAGCCAGTCTAGCAGGGGTTGTTGACAGGGCCGCCGACTCATGCATGTACAGCAATGACAACGGTTTACTTTACGGTCGGGAGACTGCGCCTCATTTCGTCTGACATTTTTTTTTTCTCTCGCAGAATTCTCACTGTCTGTACAGCATTTCCCCCAGAAAAGACGCACTCACAGCCACTACTTTCCCACCACGGACGCTAGCGGCCGCTACTGTGGGAAACGGAATGACCGCGCTCCATTTGGCGCCGCTCTTTCTCTCGTATCTACACAGTGACGCCATTACCGCATGTTGCTATTCCTCATTGAGACCTCCGCGCTGTCTCCCGTTGAAATGGCGGCCTTGTTATGCAGTACAGGCATTTCCACTATACTGCGTAGGCAGGGTCAATAAGTCAGTCAGCGACGAGACGGGATATCTGTCTACATCCAAGGGGAAATGAAGACAAGACGTCTTGTCTGCCAGAACTGTGGGTTTTTTTTTGGGGGGGGGGGGTCTCGCCGACATGCGACTCGGTCGATCTGGTACAGATCTTAGACAAGAGGAGAGAGACACACACACACGAACGAGACGAGACGGAGAGACAGAGTCAAAATGGAAACATGACCGTCCACATCGTCATCAACCGCGGCTACTATACATGGCCGCGGCTTTTCTTTGGGAGGTGGCAGAGATCCCAGACGCGCTCATTCCGTGACATCGCGGCAATTTCATACCAAACTTGGGGAGAGACGCTGCGTGGGACCGTGGGATGGGGTCCCGTCTGCCAGCCTGAGAGGGCTGAGTCGTATGACAGGCATCTGGTAACTCTGCCAATCAACCCGAGGCCAAAGACAGTGGTGGGTGACCGAACCCCAGCTCGGCCGATACCCTTCGAAGGAGTGCCTTGCATTTTTTCGAGCAACCTCCATGTCCCTCCGTGTCCAACACCCTTGAATACCCATGTACATACACACAGCTGACAGGGGAAGCGAGGCCTCTAAGAAGAACAGCCTCCTTGAAGAGCTGACAGTTTCCTTCTTTACTCGCACGAAGACTTGCGTCTGCCTCCTCTCAATATAGCAATGTCTCCAACAAGCGGCAGCGGCAACAGCACCAGTATCTTTGTCTCTTCTCTTCGTTCAGTTCCATTGCATATCGACTCCGCTTAGAACCAACTGCTCTCTGCATCTCACCTCGACCCCCAGCCTGTTGTTGGACAGGCTGACAGTCTCCAAGAACCGCCCCCCTACCTTACCTAGGTCTTTTGCCTTGCCTTGCCTTGCCTTACCGTACCTTACCTTATCTTACTGTCTTCCATCCACCCCAGTTTAGTCCTTCATTCTACACCGACACCCCCTTCTTGGACCCTGACTGTCCCCCAATTCGCACTGCGCGTCTTCATGTTTGGGGGTTGCTTCCAACTACACTCACTCGACTTCAGTCTATTCCGAGGAGAGCATTCAGCCGGGCTGTGCCTTACTAACTTTGGCTGCGTTGCTTCCTCTGCATTTTCCTCTCTGGGTGCAACCACTCTGCATCTCGGCCTTCTACACTTCCCTTTTGGGAATCTTAAACCATGGCCAGCCTCCAAGATATCATGAACGTGGACGAGGACCAACTCGAATCCCACACTATTAAGAACGACCAGGTCCCGGCTCCATCAGGCAGACATCATCAACCCTACCTGGCACCAAGCGCAGTTTACAACACAGGCTATGCGACTGGCGGAGATCAAGCAGACCGTTCAAGCACACCACAAGGCACGAAGCGAAGCTCATCCTCCCGCACCTCCAAGTCGAACACCACAGGCTCGTCATCTTCATCTGCTCGACCAGTCAACACCCGTCGAAGGAGCAACGTCAGCACCGATTCCATGGAGCAACCAAACTACGGATACGGCCACGCAGGGTCCTCCAGCGGCGGCCACGATCCCTCTGGCCAGCCCATGAGACCTTTCGGCAGTGTGCCACCTGGAGGAGAAGTTCCTGTCAAGTTGACTCCCATTACCGGCCGTGTCAGTAGGGCAAAGAAGGGTATGAAGGTTCATACATGCGATCTCTGTCGTCCTCCCAAGGTGCGCCGTCATAAAATGTAAAAGTCCGCTAGAGGAATCCGCTGACTTGAGTTAGACATTCACACGCGCTGAGCATCTAAGGTAGGCTCGAGGTGGTAACTTTCCATCGCGGTGCTTCGACTGACAAATCTTGATACCAGACGACACCAGCTTAGCCACGAAACCCCCCAGTATGGCTGCTCAATTCCGGGTTGCGATAGGGCTTTCCACCGCAAGGACCTACTTGAGCGTCATCAGCAACGACAGTGAGTTTTGTATCCTCATCTTTCGATTAACCTGGCAGAATCAACTAACTCGTAGTAAGCGAGCTCGAGGGCGACAAGGCATCGAGAAGCAGAGGAGGGAGTCAAAGTCGCCGGACATCAGCCGCCTCTTTGGATGCAGGAGTCCGAAGCATGGGATTACAACCTCCCTTGCTTGGATACCCTACGAGCGCAACAACACCGATCCACGGCCTCCCGATGACATCGAGTATGTCGCACCCTGGTACATATCAGTCCATGAGCGGGTCAGATGTCAGCAAGTCTATGTCTCCCCACCTTGGAAACGACAGCTATCGCCCTTCGTCTGGTGGTCCTGGTTACGGTGGAGGCTATTCTCTGTCCGGCCAATCCTCACAACAACCCATCCTCCAGCCTTCAAATGGCGATTTCAACACCCCGCCCTCGTTTTCCTCCATCGACTACCAGCCTCGCACAACTCCTGAGTACCCTCCGCTGTATCTTCAGACTTCGGGACTGGGACTGCAAACACCCGAACTATCGCACGCTCAGGATCCCATGGGATGGCCGTCTTCAGCTTCCGACAGCACATATTCAACGCCTTCCGATAATTCGCGACGCGCATTCTGGCCGACGGCGGGGCCAGAGTGGCAAAATAACCTCCTTTCGCCTTGCCCAACAGGTGGCTACGAGACGATAGGAGCTACCGGCCCTATGCTCTACCAATACTCGACCTCCCCCCAGCTCAGCAACCCACAGGTGTACCCGATGCTCGGCACTTCCATACCTACCTACTCTGACGAGCAGACATTCCGTGACCATCAACAACAGCCACGGTTCCCCAATACTGTTCGTAGCCTGACCCCGCCGGTGACATCGGCATCGGCTCAAAGTTGTGAAACTCTAGTCACCCCGTCGACGGCACTACCATCGGACCGGATGATGAACTCATATGCCTGTTTGGGCCGTAAGGAGGTGGCGTCGGGCCTCCTGGCGGCCCCGGCCCTGATGCAGGGCTCCTTGCCTATGTCTATCTGCAGAGCCATTCCCGGCTACCTCGATGTCTACTGGGAAAGGTTTCACCCACATTTTCCAATCGTACACCGAAGGACTTTCGAGGCCGCGGCGGAGCAGTGTGAAGTGCTTCGTTGCGCCATGGCTGCAGTGGCGACTCAATACCTGAGTGGCAAGGAGGATCGTATCAGGGGGGATCAGCTGCATGAATATGCCTGGCAACAATCCAGATACGTAAGTTAACACGATCATAGTCTATACTGAAAGTCTGTTTACTGACATTGGGGGAGAAACAGTTCCCTCAGTGGGACGTGTCTGTCATGCAAGCGATTCTGCTATGTGAGTACTTCGCGCGGTTCCGCGGCCGAAGAGCAGCCATCAGGCCATCGAAAGAATTCGAGTCCGTTTACTCGCGGGTAAGTTCTCTTCTGCATTTCATTCTAACACGTTTGTTCTACTTCAATTCTTCTAGCTTTAGTCTTTTGCTGTGTGCATTTTTCTTTCAGTCTTTCGGGTCTCTCATCCCAGCAACAATTTCTAAACCTCCATTCCAGGTATACAACGACAAAGCGGTCATATTTGGCGCCGTGCCTCGGACCGGAACCAATACCGTCAGATGGCATAGTTGGCTCGATGCAGAGGCTCGTCGTCGCCTTCTCTCGGCGTGCTTCGTCCTGGATATCCACAGCTCGGTTTACCTGGCCCAGCCAAGAGTTCGCAATTTCGACATCACGGCAGATGGCATGCCGCCCAACATCCCGCTCACTGGCCCAGCTCAGGATCTCTGGGATGCACCTAGTGCCGATACATGGGCGGCAATGGTCTCGTCCAAGAGAGTTTCTCTGGATGACCAAACACTCCTGTCTTTGATTAACCCGGACACCTTGTCAAGAAGCACAGTCGACACACACGCCCCTTTCGACCGCGCAGTGATCCTAGCCTTCGAGGTACTTTTACTCCCTCATCGTGGGGAAGCCACGCACATTCCCTCTTCTTCGACAGAAATACTAGAGCCGCAGACTTTCCGCATGGCCAACATATTTTCGGACTGCTCTAAGGCCAACACCTACCTGGCTCTTCACCACACTCCTCTTCATGATTTACTAGCTGTGTCAGGCGATAGTTGGATCTTTAGCCACAAGGTTCTACAGCCTAAACAGTTTGACGAGCACAAGAGGCGGCTCAGGGAGTGGTCCGACTCAGGCAGCGCTGCCGTCGCGCTGGTCTTTGCCTGCCGGGCTCTTCGCGCCTTCACTGACCACGGCAATTCTGAAGAAGATTCTGACGACGAAGATGGCATGGATACTCGAGAGGCCGGCCGACCCCGGATGTGGAAGGACATTTCGGATTACTGGGGCATGTATGTTTGCGCTCTGATCTGCTGGGCCAACGGGCACCGCATCAACGGTGGCGAAGCAAGCCGCAGCGATTCCGACAACGATGACGAGGCGCTTCAGTGGATTCGCACCTTTGCGAGCATGGGGGCCAAGAATGCCATAGAAACACCCTTGAAGAAGGAGGCAACAATGGTCGTGGCTCTTGTGAGAAGATGGCTCGAGGTGGATTGCCTCGGCAACCGGAGCCGACTCTATGTCGATGCAGTCGGCGTGCTGAGTAAGTTAGCCGAGGGTTGCACCTGGAAGTGGTTTTAAATGGAGATGATTGTGTGGTTGATGCGTGGGTGGCAGCATTTTCCCCTTTTCGGCATTTGGCATCAGCATTGCATACTTCACCTCGACTTTTCCTATCATTTTTTTCCCTCTGAAGTTTTTTCTACATTTTCGTTTTCATCTTTTTGCTTTTTCTTTTCTTTGGCATGGCACACAGCACATTCAAGAGCAACTTGGCCAGAGGATCATAATACCTATTTGCATTGTACACTTACGACATTTATGACGGGAGGAAGAAAGCAGGTCCAGAAGAAATAGCATTTACGGGAGGACACCAGATAGAGAAATGTAGAGACGGCCTTTTCCTTTTCGCTCATATTTTGTTTCTCAGTTTTTGCGAGTATATGAAGGAGAATGTGAACATTTACGAGTTCTCCATGTCTTTCTAGCGGTCGTGGTTTCAGATAGAACCGCATAGTACATATACTGAGATGATGAGAATTTACCATGCATTTCAGAACACTTTAATGACCTTTATAAAATGACCGGAGCCAAAGGATTAAGAGATGATTATGGGATGCGAGACTTGCAGAGTATCATTCTCAGATAGAGACGCATTCTCTTGATTCACCCTAAGGATCATCTCTAAGCCTCGAGGGATCGAACGCGGCATTGGTATGCTTGTTATTCTGGTCAACCTCGGCTGTGTATATGAGGATTCAGTAGAATGATCAATCTCCTTGGGCCCCCATCTTTGACTTTCGCGGGAAAAGTCAGACGGTAAAAGCGAGTATAGCCTTTGGCGCCGGAGATGCTGACGTACTTTGAGACTGTCGAGACTATTTGATGAGGTTTTCTTGTTGTACTCGTCGGCTTTGTCATGGTTTCTTGCGATTAACGGACCTTCTTGTTTCCATGTCGTTTTGTTTGTGTGGACTCTTGAGTGTGATTCGGATGTGTGATGATGAGGGCTTGCTCTCGCGGTAGCTATTTATCGACCGGTTTAACCCGCTTCGTTTGAGTGAGCATCTTGATCATATATGTCCGGGTCTTATATCAATCACACGATCGAACCGGACAAGAAAACAGTCTGGATTGAGTTCCTTAGAAGGCTGCGAGGGACCAGCTCATTTTCACCATTCGGGGCTCCTTCCCTGCTCAAATGCAGGAGACAGTCCATGGAATTATATAAACAAGCAATCGAGGTCGTATTCAACTTGAACTTGTTCAGGACGGAGTTGTAGTGGCAATTTCCACAAGTCGTACGACAGGGTTATCGGGAGAGGTCTCATGTGCAGGAATGAATAACTTCACCTCATAGGCATCCGCGAAGTGTGAAATGTACTACAGATATCGAGACGAAACGACTTTATAAGTCATAATTCACTCGCCCTTCAACTTCCATCTTCAGTTACGTATTCCAAGGGGAATATTCCCTAATGAATTAGCTGGGCTTCGGTGGAGAGGGAGGATTTGAGAGACGAAATGAGCTTGGAATAGCATAACCTAGTTGGGAACGTTTCTTCGCCTGGGAAGCATTACTAACGATACTTGTTAGAAGCTTGTCTGGCAGGGCAGATCCATCAGTCACCAACCAGCACTAGGCCCCCGGATATAACGATCTTACGGATGGCTTAGATACACTACTTTTATACTTAGCCGTGGCATCAATGAACTACCAAGGCAGGATGAACCGTGCCGGAGATAACCCCACCTTACCGTGCTATTGTGTTATCGGGCCAGAGTCCAACACCTTAAGGTAGCACGTGCAGGTGCGAGATCACCCCTGGCAACGCCATAACCACAAACCAGGCAGGCACCGCCCGCCCGCACCTTCCATACCCGCCACGGAAGAAATTAAGCCCATTGGAAGGTATATACCCCTCCTCAATTCAATTCCTGTCACCAGCACAGCAGGCGCCCTCTAGGTCGGGGGTCAGGTCAAACTGTGGCGTGGGTGGTGGAACGGTTCATGGTTCGATAATCTTTCACGCCAACCAGCCTACTCGACGACAGGCTTAGCAAAGTACCCCGAGTTCGAGTCCCAGCATGAGCACCAAGAGATGTAACCCCCAAATCGGCACGGGGGGGGGTGAACTCTTTTTTGGTTCTTGCTTTGAATAATGGTGGATCTATGAGGATGATGAGGTGACTTGGGCGCCCTTCGCCGCGGCGCTGGGAGCTGGACGGAACTGCCTTGAGATTAAAATGCCGCGAAGCCTTGTTCAGGCAGTACCGTTGAGAGAACCAATGTCTTTGCACGCTTTATTAGACGCATCAGACACACGACTGGGACTCGGTCGCCCGTGTCTTTCACCGTAGCTGTTGATCAGGAGTTCCCAACTCCCCACGTCCACCTGAGGCCCTCTCCTAGTTCAAAGGCCATGCACTCACGAGTACCGTCTAGTTCTAGAACAGACGTACAGTTTTGATAAAGAAGAGAAAAAAGACAGGACGCGCTGGGTTGGTCGCTTCATTTCATCCTTTTGAAGTGTTTACAGGACTAGGGTTGCTTCTGCGCCTATCCCAGTACCAGAAAGAAGCTGAACCGGTCTAGATATGACACGCGTGGTGGCATATATATACAGCTAGTCATGAGGAGGAACTATATGAGCCAGCCTTGTTATGTTGCAGTGGCACTGGGTTCTACTGACGTTTACGGACATGACCTCGCTGACTCAACCCGACCTTTGAATCTTGAGAAACTGGAGAGTATGGGGACCATGATTCCTCGATGTATCAGCGTCAAGATTCCCCTATTGCAGATGAAGTGTAGATTGCTAATGACCATCTCATTACTCATTCATCTATATCACGTCCTTACGGTGGTCCCCCAAGGTTCATGGTCCGGACGGAGTTGCAAGGACGTCACCCACCATATGGATAGAAACACCAACAAACCCCGCACTCCTTTCTGCAGATTTTTAGTTCCAAACCTTCCAAGTTCCGACATATCACTGCCGTATACGTTAATCCAAAGAAGTGGGTGACAGTTATCGTACCGCATCACCTTCACTTCCCTACTCCCTCCTATAGTAAGACTGCCGGCATTCCATCTTACATCTTATACAACCGACTTCTCACTCGACCTCGGATGAGCTCGGCCGTCTGTTGACAGCCTTCAATGAACCGGGTATTAAAAGTAACAAGGCATTGACGGGTTTTCTTCTCGTCGATCGCTTATAAAGCTTGGGCGCCAATCCGTCAATACCACCTCTTTAATGATGCGAACCTCGAAGAACTGCATCGTACCAGATTCTGCGGCGGGCGTTCTCTGCCTCGACAGGCTCAGACTCTAACTGACGATTTCGCCAATGGATTATGCCCACATATTTCGAGTCACAATAGTAGGTAGGACAAAGAGCTTATCATCGCCCAGCATCCTCGCACCCCAGTTGAGTATTCGGTACTGGATACGTGAGAGATACCGAGCGAGAAGCCCATGGGAATACTTGATACGTGAATGGCTCAATCTCACAAAAGGCATCCATCCATAAGGAAGAAACATACTTCTTCCATACCGCTCACAGTGCCGACTTCCTTCAGGGAGATGAACTCAGTTGCGCCAGGCTGCTCGGCCAGTCTTTGACCAATTACCCTTACTCCCCTCAAAGGGGTTATATATGCATAGAAAATCAGGCCATACGGGCAGATGTCCAGCTTGCTACAGCTACACACTCGATGCTGCACTGTCTAGACATCAATCTGTAGGTGTGATACGACAACACAACCACGTCCGCTCTATGGAATAGCAAAGCCACACACTGGAGTGACTCTCCTCCTCGTTACTAAAGATTAGGTCGAGCAAAGATCATGCTGACATTTTCCAATCTAATTTGGCTACCAAAAGAGTGAAATCAGGCTAAGCCAGCCAAGATTCCTTGGGAATTGAACAACACCGGGCTAATGCCATTGATTGAACTAAACCTCTGCGCGCGGTTATCCGTCTCAAAGCTGAAGGCCATTTATTCCGACAAACATCCTGTCTGAGTAAATCGACCCTGTCACTATCGTGTAGTCGCGATGCATGGTGAACAATCCACAAGGCAGTCAATGACTCTTGACTTTGAGTGTAGTCACGGGCAAGCCGTCACGCACTTGCTTGTAATCTTGTACCTCAACGCACGAACACCATTGCAACGGCTACTCTCGGCAGGCAAAAAGGCGTATAAGCTTAGCAAAGAAGCAAGCATCGACCATCCAAAATACGTGCCCCTGGGTGGAACGATGCAACGCACGAGAGGCTCGAAACGAAACGAGGTTGCATCTGATGTTTGACACGTGCGGGAGCTCTGACGTCGAGCTCTCGATTTTTAAACTCTGGAGAATGGAGACCTGTTCGCCTCAACCACCCCTCCTGAGAGCGAAACAGTCGGAAAGAGAACGAAATCACACGTTGATGAAACCTTGAGGGGTCTGGCCCAAGCAGTTTCGCGAAGGCGTGGTAGACGTTTGCGAGTTTCGAGAAGTCTGACTTCCAACGTGTTGACAAGACCTTGGTATGGCGGACAGGCCGGGAAATACCAGTAGGACGTGCCACTAGGAGCAGTTCTCTTTGGGTTTGTTCATGTTGCGACATCGGTTGAACACCCGAGGTGACGAACGCGGGCAGTTGGCAAGGGTGTGCTGGGTGAGTCGATCGTCATCAAATCACCGAGACTCAACCGGGCTCTGAATGCAGCCTCTCCTGTGGTGTAATTGCCGAAACTTGCGTCCTGCGATCTGCTCAGTTATCGCAGCGGTTTTGGGGCATTTCCCACGCGGGAAAGAAATTTTTGAGTGGGGGCAAAGCAGGTCACCGTCGTCCGTGGTTGAGGCTATGGAGAAGATTGGGCGCGTGATCGAACCTCAATCTATGGCGAGGGGCCTAGGGTTGTCTCAGTCCGGGAACCGTCCCTGTCTGAGTCTGGAGCTTCCACCCCTTCTTCCCCGCAATTTCCTGGCGCGATAAGATCTTGGGAGATGAGATCCGTTCGTGAAATCGAGAGCGGGAATTAAGTGTGCCACATGTAGGCTTATCCGCGATTTGCAATAAGAGCAAT